TTATGTAATATGATCTTTTAATTCTGTATTTACTAAGAAGAAAATGTGCCCAAGGAACTTTTGACTTTTAATGAAAATGAAAACATGGATTATCCAAGGTAGAAATAATAGATATTAACTAATCTGAATAATTATATCATTTATTTAGCATACTCTTATTTGATTTTCATATGACAGAGTATTTTAAAATTTTATTGAACTAAATCTTAAACTTGTAGCTGTAACTTAAAACTTGTCTGGGAGAAAAAGTGACCACTGCTAATTCACTATAATTTTGCTGATGTTACTCAGACTAAATTAAAAGGAAGCAAGTGGTTAGTTTTAGTAGAGTGCGTAAAATATTTGATTGAAATGAAAAATGATTTTTAATGCTAGGCAATTGGAGTCCTATACTGTCTTGTGATAAACAGGATTGAATGAAATAGTGTCCATGAATTAAATCTTTATTGTGCAGTGGTGGGGTGCTCCTTGAAGTTTTTTAAAGATTTTATTTATTTGAGAGAGAGAGAGAGAGAGAGTGAGAACATGAGTGGAGGGGAGGGGCAAAAGGCAGAAGGAGAGGGAGACGCAGACTCCTCACTGAGCAGGGAACCCGATGCAGGGCTGTATCCTGGGACCCCAAGATAATGACCTGAGCCAAAGGCAAACCCGACTGAGCCACCCAGGTGCCCCTCCTTGAAGTCCTCATATTGTAGAATCCTCATATCCAACTTGATCAGGATTCCTTTAACACCTGAAGTTTTATTCATGGAAGTACCATTGTTTGCTTAGTTTTAAAGAGACCACTAGAACATCCCGTGAGGATTAGTGTGTCCTGCCAAGTAATGGAAAGCAGCAGTCAGTGTGATTGAAATCCACAGCTTCAATGAAACTTGTGTTTATTTGAGCAAAGTCCAACCAATAAACAAAGGACAGAAGATAAATCAGTCATAAAATGAAGAGGTTATAGGTGTAAATAACAGAAATTAGGTAACTTTCCCCCCAATAAGAGTATTTTGAGAATGCCTTCTCTTAACTATATATTTTTTTAAAAAGCAAGAGCAATATATATTTATATATGTTTTTAGACCACTTAACGGATAGAAGTATTAGAAATGCAAGTAGCCAATTTCTCTGTAATCCATTTAATTACTAACTCTGTTGAGGTTGATGTCAGTCTCTTGAGTTCCATTTGTCTGGGGCTTATATCTCTTGAGCTTTTCTCCCTTCAAATTATATGGTCATTAATATAACCACACAGACTGGGGCTTCTCTTTATTTCAGTTTTCCCTAAACCTTAAGCTGAATACCTGCCTGAAAGTACAAAGATGTAATTAAAAAAAAATGCTCAATGTTATGAAAGTGTTTAATTTTTACGATAAGATTTAACAAGCCATCAAGTTCTAAAGTCCTGATACATACATAAGAGACTATTATTTTTCATTACTCATAGACCTGTGCAAATTTCTTTTCCATCTTATTTGTACCTTTTATTATCTTCCTAAAATTTTACCAGATAACTTCTTTTGGCTGTCCTCAGTCTGAAACAGAAGAGAGGGAATGGTAAGTCTTAATCAGATAGCATAGAAATGAATTCTTGTACTATTTTATTGAGGAATAAACTGTGAGCATTTTTTTCTTAGGTTTTAATAGACTATGTTGGGGAAAAAAATAGGAAGCTGATGATATAACATCAACAAGACCAGTAGCAAGGCCTTGAATTTCAGTTACTGGGTTTGTGTAGGAGCAGGCCCAGGCAAACTGCATACAGATGATACGCGTGGGAGGCCGTGGCAGATGGGGGTCGCCCCACAGAGCTTACCAGATGTGGTTATCCTCTCTCATGGGGAAAACAGTTAAAGGTGGGGGAAATAAATATATCTTCAGGTTTTGTATTAGGCTGTATTTATTTCATCTGGAGTTCAGGGATGCATTGTGAAGAAGGCCAGTGGAGGGGCTGTATTGTAATTTTATGGGTCTGGTCAGCCATTTCACTGAGCCCTTGGAGAAAGCCACTGTGAGGTGGGAGAATAGAAGTCCCTCAGCCACTTCATCCCCGACCTCAACCTTCAGCCATCAGATGGAGCAATTCTTTCTTTATCGACTTAGGAACCATTAGTTTTACATCATTTAAAGCTGAATTCTTATTTGTGAAACATCACGTTTTTGCAGCCTAGCTATAGATATTATGCTTAAATCATATTTTATTTGTTTCTTTCCTAACCCTTCCTGCTGAGGGACTCCTTTTTCTATTTGGCCAGAATTACCATTAATTTACTGTGTCTTTTTATCTTTCCACAGACAGTTTTGCCCCTTTGATATTTTCTTGCATGGATAGGAGCCCATTCTGTATGGGCCATAACACTAGTCTTTCAGAGCTTCCTTTTTTTTAATTTCTGGTGAGTTGAAGGTAGAAGGATCTCTCTGTCAATCTGTCTAGTCCCCCATTTCCCAAAAGGAAAGACATTTACTGTAACAACAGACATGGGCATCAATATTCTTTTTATTCCACTCCCTGTCTCCTTGGCCCTGCCAGGGCCTATGGGTAACCAACCCAGGGCCTATTCCTGTTAGAGTGTCACAGTTGGGAAATGGTTGGTTTGGGGAGCATCGTAAGGCTCACCTACCAAAAGTCTTTCCCTACACACACACACACACACACACACACACACACACACACACACAGGTTACAATAATGCCCCCATGGAGGGGTGGTTTTGTCTTTGGGGGCACCTGGAAGCTAATGCTCTTTAGGTCTGGCATTCCCCTGTCTAGAACCATCTTGGGTTCAAGAATATGGGTTCTAGAACCACAGGATTTCTAAATTTCTTTTGTTTATGGGACTCTCTGGGAAAGATCTTTTCCTTTTGAATTCTGATAGTGTTTCTTAACTGTAAACATAAAGTGATTTGGACTATAATGGTGACATTGGGATGAGTCTTAACAGTTCCTGTACATGGTTGGTGCCACAATCTATAAATTCCTTGATGACGGCTATAATCCCTTATCTATCATTATATCCCATGCCTGGAACATAGTAAGCATTCTATATTTTTGTTAAAAGAATAATAAGAAATTTAGTAAAGGGGAGAAGAAATCCAGAAATAAAGAAACAGCAATGTAGATGTCAAGGTAACCGATGCAGTGTTGTAAAAAAAAGTCATTTAAATCACATTTAGAGATCAGTGGGTTTTCACAACCAGATATGAACTTTGGAGGAAATCACACAGAAAAAACTTTTATATGGTCAGGCAGGCAGCAAAGTGATAAGGTTATTCTTGACTAGTTTATAGCTCTTTGGGCTGCAGTCAAGTTTTGCTTCATATGTTCATGCTTATATCTTAATATACACCTTTAGATATTTAAAACTTTTAACAGGAATAGCAAAATAATAAGATTAATATAGAAATAATCTTGTCACATGAACACAAAAACAGTTTCATTTCTCCATATACGTTTTTAGGTGGCTGTGTACTTTATGTAGTTGTAATCACAATATATTTTTTTCTTTTGCTCTTTTTAGCTAACATGATCATTTTCCATGAAATCATTAGATTTTAATTCTGAACGCATGTTACAGGCATCTTAACATCTGCCTAGAAATTGTGCCAACCTAGTTGATGGGCCACAGGTGAGAAAGACTGACTTTCTTAGGGCAGAGCATTAAATAGCATTTGACTACTTTTTGCAGCAGTGCACTTTTGGGAATCCAGCTTAATTTTGTGGCTGATCAGAGTGAAGATACTCTGCTGCACTGGTGGAAGTGGGGGGGGATTATTTTTTGTGTTTCCATTTTCTGAATATATCATGATTGAAAATTAGAAAAAAGTAAATACTTCATGCAGTTTGGAAGATCTTTTTTGTTGTTCATGGTCCTTTTATAGAGAACAAAAAAAATGTTACTAAGTGATCTGTTTATGAAGTGGCTCTGTTAGTAGAACTTGAAATTCTTCCATAGGTTAGAGGTAATCTAATTTGAGTATTTCAGAATAGGACTGTGTGTTTGAATGAAGTCTTTGAACCTTCTCCAACTTCTTTTTTCCTGCGTGACCTTGAGTAAGACATCTAATCATAACTGTGGAAAGTAGGAGTAAAGATATCTGAGGCTGATTATGATGATGATGATGAGCAGTTTGTCATCTATAGACAGGGCCACTGTGAAGGTGGAGGAGAAATTTAAAAACTGTGTTGAATGTGTTTTTAGAACAACAGTTTCAGTGTAGCATAAATTACCAACAGGCCCCATTCTTGGGAGCCTGTGTAGATAGAGAGGGCAGGGACCCAGAAGCGGTCTGCTCAGCAAACACTTCTTGCCCACACTGGCTTCCAGGCATGCTTAGTTTACTTAGGCTCAGCTGTACTCAGGTAATAGCCAACTTCACAGAACAGGGAGGCCGTACCTAGACTTGATTTCTTTCCTGTAGAGCCTGGCTCTGTGTCCATTTGGTTCCCCCTAAAACTGAGACAGATCCTCAGGCTTTTTCACTTAGCAGCCTTCAGTGCTGAGAGTAAAAGACTTCTGTTAGTCCACATGCCCCGAATCAATTCTGCATCAAAAAATAGATGTGTGTACTAGTGTGTGTACGTGGGGGGAGGAGGGAATTATAAGATCTTTCTTTGTATTTTTTTCCTTAGTTGAGAAAAGGTAGGTTGTTTCTATTAAAGATGGGGTTTGAATGGAGGAGATAGATGGGGGACAGCGGGATTAAACAGCACAAAATATTGTTAATCTAGTCAAGCAAATTTAGATTCCATTCTGACAGAACAGCTGAGACCAAGCCCCTTGGAACTAGTCCAGTTTGAGAATATCTTACTTGTTATATTCTTTAAAAGGATAACTGAAAAACTAGGGGTTGGTTGTAAGATTACTGTTTTTATTTTTTGGTGAGTGGGCGTTAAATGAACTGTTTTTCAGGAAATAGTGGGGAAAAAATAGCCACACACTTTTAGCTAGTTAGTCACTCCTGAATCAATGAGAATCATCATTTTGTTAATTTCATCAACATGTTCATTTCTTTCAGCTCCATGTTCATGCATGTCTTTTAACCCGGAAACAAGAAGACTGTCCATAGGTCTAGACAATGGTACAATCTCAGTAAGTACACATAAATAAGATTTCCAGTTGAAATACTTCCCTTCCTGTGGAGTATGTATGTATGTATTGGGATGAGAATTATTTATTAGTTTTTTTCAAGTTAACAAATTAATTTTCTTGCTAAGTGAAGTGGAAATTGCAGGGCAGCAGATTATGGTGAAGTGTAGAGAGAGCTGGTATCAGTCTCAGTTTAAACATTGACAAGGTTCAGCTTGCCTTCCCATGGACCCAGTGGCTAGAAGAGGAGCTTTATGAGGCCCGTGAGTGGACTACATGAATCTGTGTGTTAGTGAGAGCGAGGAGGGACACTCACGGTTGTGATCAGATGGTTAGTCATGGTCTCATGTGCTTCTTCAGACAAGTGACAGAACACAAGGGAAATGTCGTCTTAGACCTGCATGTCTAATCTCTGATCCTTGATGTTTTCCTCCTTTCCCTCTTCTCCTGCTCCTTCTTGTCCTAACTCCCTCTAGCTGTGAATAGAGTTCTGTAAATTGTATGAATTTGTAAAAAACAAACAAACAAACAAACAAAAAACACAGACTCTACATTAGGCTGTAGGGTAGAGTCAGATAAATATTGGGCTCTTTTTTACTGTAGATCTCGAGGGAACTGAAGTGATTAGGGATTGGAGTTTCAGGTTTTACTACTTAATCTTTTTTTATATATTTAGTTTCAGCTACTTTATTAACCGAGTGTAACAAGACTGATCTGGTAAATTCTCCATTTTGGTAAATTATGCAGTATTGCCTTCAGTCCCGGCAAGAGAGGCCCGTGAATTAGAGGACCCTGTTCTGGGCACATTTACCCACAGGAAGAAGGACCTAAGAGGTTAAGGGGGTTTGCCCAGCCCTCACACCACCCACCCCCATGTTCTGAGTACCTGACTGGAATTTTCCTGACCCCAAAACCTTAGAGCCTGCATGTACTCTATTGTGGAACTTCGAGGAGTCTAGAAATTCTAAATTCGTTCCTGTACGCCCAGGTGGTTGAAGGTATATTTGTCAAGATTGGAGGAAGAGACCATATTTTATTTAATAGTTTAACTTGATATATAACTTTTAACTATTTAGACATATGGAATGTGGGTTTCCATCTGTAACCTTAATCTGAGTCTTACAAGGGGTCTGAAGAGGTGGGCTTGAAATTTTCCATTTGGTCTTTAGTCAAAACATTAATTTGGTGACCGTTATGGAAATTTTACCAATATTATTAAATATAAATTTGCCTGTTAATGAATATATATGGAATTTCTATAACGTCCAATGTAGTTGGGAGGTCTGTAAACTCTGTTCTGTGGGAGGGCAGAAGAGAAGTGAATGATACAGACCTTCATCTGCTTTAAGGAGAGTTATATTTAAAAAGCAGGGTGTGGGGGGGGTAAGTTTATTTTTAAAAGATGAAGGGGGGGTAACTAGATTGTTCAGCGAACTGAAGTTCGTGGCAAAGGAAATCTAAAAAGATGAGATAAGATCTATATATTGTCTAACAGTTCATGGACTCGTATACGTAACACTCACTGTCCATGAAAAGACTTAAGTGTAAATTTCATAGGGTCAGTCTTTGCATTTTTTAAAATCCGTGTAGATGGTTAATGGGTGCTGATAAATTTGGCTTTGAAGTAAAGAAAGGTGAACAAAGTAAGTTATGGAGAGTCCTGGCTATTTATCGTATATAAGAGGAGAGACCATCTTAGCTATTATTCCTTTGGTAAATGAAACTGCCAGAGAAGCAGAACGTAAATCAAGGGGGTTAGCTTGGATGCTTCCGCAGGTGTATCAGTACAGTGTGGCTATACCAAGCCTTACCTTACCCTGACCTCCTAGAAAAGATTAAGGACCCAGCTCGTGTGACACAATTTCCTTAAAAGGACGTGTTTTATATTGTCAAAGAGGATGAATGTATACACTGTCTCTTCTCATCTGAAGAACTGTAAAGAGCTGAGTTAGGAAAGGCGCATGGAAAGAAGGGCTTGTTTTAAGGTTCAGCGTTCTTATTGGGGTTAGAAACACACAGAGTCTCGGCTGTTTAATAGTTCACTTTCCAGACGTGACAAATCCTATGCAGAGACTGTTCATTCTCTGTTTCCTGAATATAGCAAATAAATTTTAAAAAGAAATAACTGGTTAACTTTTTTTTTTTGGTTAACTTATTTTAAAACAAAGAAAGGAGGAAATCAGAAAGTAAATCCTTGTTTCTCTTTATTCTACTGAATAAAAAAGATTCAAGAGGCAGTCACCTTCTGTAACTGAAATGAATTAAGAGATGAAGTAGAGACAACCAGTACAGACCATGCTTTCAGAAACTTGTCAGCAAAAGGAAGGAGGGGGGGGTGAGCGCTGCAACAAGATGAGACATTAGACAAGCAGCAGGAGGGTCCTGAACAACTGGGAGAATTTAGCTTTAGGGAAGAATGGGGAAGCTGTTGAGATAGCGCGAAAGGCAGAGGCAGTTGTGAGATGCAGGAGAGGAATGACCTTTTCAATTTCTCATGAAGTAGCAGGTGAGATCACCTACCGAGAGAAGCTAGAATGGGTGAGGGTGTGTTTTCATGTCTGTATATTTTGCTCTTGCTAATCTTATAACCCCAATCCCCCTTCTGCCGTCTTGGTCTGCAGAGTCCCAATTATCTCTCAGTGCCTTGTTGCAATGTCATCTTGTCCCTTTTTGTGGTTTGGTTTGGTTTTGACGGAAGGTTCCTAAGCCCTACCAGTTGAAATGAATCACACACACTACTCAGTAGGTTAGCTATATTGTATTGCTCATTTAACTTGTTTTGTAAAAAAATTTCTTAAGTCTGTCTCCTCAGTTAAAGTGTTGAGTGTTGAGGACTTGGCCGGTTTTTTATTCATCTCTTCTCGCGGTGGATCTTAGTATGGTTCCTTGTACAAATTAGGGACTCAGTGAATAATTTGTTAAATAAGTTGACTAAAATACAAACGCTATTATTATTTAATATAGCTGGCTGTAATAAGTACCTGCTTGAATTCTGAGATAGTTTATTTGTATAATTCTGTTGCCATTCAAAATATTTGTCACAATGGAATACCTTCTGCAGGGGAAAACAGTATGCCAATAGTTTAATTCATCTTGAGCTTTCAGAAATGTCATCTGTTGTAATGTCAAAAGGAGTCACTCATACTGTGCAAACTGCTATTCATGCTGAAGAAGGACTTCGAAATTTTCTTTTTTTAATTGTTACTTATTTATTAAAGATTTATTTATTATTTATTTGAAAGAGAGCATGAGCAGAGGGAAGAGGCAGAGGGAGAGGGAGAAGCAGACTCCCCACTGAGCGGGGATCCGGACGCGGGGCCCAATCCCAGGACCCCAGGATCATGACTTGAGCCAAAGGCAGATGCTTAACTGCCTGAGCCACCCAGGCGCCCCAGGACTTTGAAATTTCCTATCACAATACCTCATGCATTCTAGCCAACCAACGAGTAAATCTAAATATCAACAGTGTGCAAAACAGTATGCTCAATTCTAACATGTGGCTCATGGTCTCAGAAAGCTTATTCAGTTGGGGGGGAAAGGGAGTGTGAAATTGTAAAATAAGTAACAAATAGTAAAAAAAATAACAGCCCCAGCAGCAGTACACCAGTGAATGTGATGCTGATGAGACAGTGAGTCAGGAGAGCGTGGGAGCTAATGGCCCGGGTCAGCTCCGTGGAGACAGGCTGTGAGCTGGGCTTAGAAGATGGGCTAGGATTTTGTTGGCCGAAGATGGGAAGGTAAGGTATTTCAGGCAAGGTGAATGGCATAGGGGAAGAAAGCATGGTGGTAAGAGAGGGCAAGAAGTGTTTGGAGAGAAATGAACCAATTTGAGAAGTGGAATATAAAATATACAAGGTGGCTGGGGTCCTGGCTCAGGATGAGTAGTTAGCATTTGAAGGAGCTGGATCCCCAACAGGGAACATCTCCCTCCACCACCACTGGAAGACTTTCTAAGGTATTCAGAGAGGATAATTGGTGAGGAAATGTCCACGCAGAAATGAAAGAACTTCCTTAAACTAATGTTTACCAAGTCTACTGAATAACGGCTTAGTCATAGAGATGTATAGATGCTAATCTTTATAAATATATAGATTTTCTGCTTCATCAAAACTGTTGGTGAGCTGAAGTTTTATTGAAATCTTGCCGGATAAATGCATACTCATTGAAAATTTATTTTTTTGAGCAAAGCCCCAAGATGATAAATCTCTGTTCTCTGAAGATTGTTTTCATATATGTGTTTATGGTAAATTTGGGATGAGAAGAAAAGATTGATCTATATAATGGTTAGCATTCAGGATAATGATTATTATATAAAAACAAACAATACTGACCACGTATGGATTTGTTGCTGTTGTTTTCATAGTTCTTGCGGTGATTATGTTCCTGTAGTATGTATTGCTGTTAGTTCACATAGTTGTCCGAGGGAATGAAAAAGGAAAGAGAACTAAATACTTACTGAGCATGCACTGTGTCCTAGACACTCTGTTTCCTATACATCACCTCATTCCAGCGTCACAGGAATTCTGTGATGTAGGTGGCATCACTCAACATTTCTCAGAGAAGGACACTAAGGCTTGGAGAGTTCATGTGCCTTCTCCAGCTTACTTAGCCAGGAAGTAGAGCTGGGAACTCTGGGTGCCTGTGAAGCTTGGGCTTTCTCCTCCCCCATGCTGCCATCCAGGAGCCACTTCTTTGTCCGTAAAGATTTCCCGCTAAAGGCTTTCCATTCCCTGCCTGTTGTTCTTGCCCAATAGGCAATTATATTTCTATTTCCTGAGTATTCTTGGGCATGTTGCCTCATTTGTTTGTGGGACTGTCTCCTTCACTAGACTGTGAACTGCCTGAAGGCAGAGACCATGTCTGCTTCAGTCTGTATCCTAACAGAGTTCTTGGACCACTGAAGATGCTTTGTAAAACGTCGAGTGAGGGAAGAAAGGTGTTTCCATTTATGTCATCAGGATGCTAATGCCAAAGTCAGGCGTTTAGCCAGCAAAGGTAAATTG